ATTTAATGGCTGTTTCTTACCCAAAATCCAAGCAATTCGCCCCCCACAAGCAGGAGCAGCCGGCGGTGAGGAGCAGAGCATAGTAAATCCGGTTTTCCAGCAGGGGGAGGGGAAATTTATGGGTTCTATTTGGGTTCTAGAGCAAGAAAGGAAGGAGAAAACCAAGCTTATCTCACCGGTTTCTCAAAGCATGGTTGGGTTCCCCTTTTTTTTCTTCGGGCGACTGCAGCGGGAAGACAGAGCAGAACACGCGGGGAAGAAGAAGAAAAGAAAGAAAGAAAAAGGAGAAAAGAAAAGAAGTCATCCTTATCCAAAATCTTTCCCTCTTTAAGTCCCTCAACTTTTGAAATATTCACATTAGGCCCCAAAACAATCTTTTCTCACAATCAAGTCCTTAACTTACACTTCAATATTCCCGAAAATTTGGGATATTACAGGTATAATTGGACTTGTGTGCTTCTTGGAGCAATTCCGTCCTCAACTCTTCATCATATGGAACACAGATTCTATCTACAAGTCTTATGATTCCATCATCCGAAATATGAAGACCCATTTTAGAGCTTTTTCCACTGTCCTTCATCCACTCCATCAATCTTGAATCTTTCTGTTGTGCTTCTTTGATTTTTGACAATAGCATAGGTTGAACCATCAGACTAGACACTAGTACATCAGACTTTGGTGGCAAAAACTTGACATTCAAATTCTTGAATTCTTCTAGGAGTTTCCACTCCATCACCATTAAGCTCGCTAAAGTGCCAGTTGATTTTTTACTAAGTGCATCTGCAACCACATTTCCCTTTCCAGGTTGATAGACAATTTTGCATCTATAGTCATTCAGATACTCCATACATCTTCTTTGTCTCAAGTTAAGCTCTTTTTGTGAAAATAAATATTTCAAGCTTTGGTGATCAGTGTGCACCTCTAACTCTTCTCCATACAAATAGTGCTTCCATAACTTAAGTGCAAAAATTATGGCAGCAAGTTCTAAATCATGTGTAGGGTAATTCCTCTCATGTGTCTTGAGCTATCTAGACCCATAAGCTATCACCTGTCCATGTTGCATAAGTACACAACCCAAGCGTTTATGAGAAGCATTGGTATATACCACAAAGTTTCCTCCATTGTCAGGAATAACAAGAATTGGTGCTGTGACCAATCTGTTCTTCAACTCTTGAAAGCTTTGCTCACATTTATCTGTCCATTCAAACTTCTGATTCTTACGAGTAAGTTGTGTTAACGGACCAGAAATCTTTGAATATCCCTCCACAAACCTTCTATAATATCCTGCTAGTCCAAGAAAACTTCGCACTTTGGTGACACTAGTTGGCCTTTCCCATTTCACAACTGCTTCCACTTTACTAGGATCAACTGATATGCCGTCCTTCGAGACAATATGACCCAGAAAACTAATCTAATTCAGCCAAAACTCACACTTATCAAACTTGGCATATAACTTCTTTTCTCGCAAAATCTGCAATACAATGGCCAGATGCTCCTTGTGGCTTTCTTCATCAAGAGAAAAGATAAGAATGTCATCAATGAAGACAATGACAAACTTATCTAAGTACAGTTGAAAGATCCTATTCATAAGATCCATAAAAGCTGCAGGGGCATTGGTTAAACCAAACGGCATTACCAGGAACTCGTAGTGCCCATATCTGCTCCTAAAAGCAGTCTTTATCACATCCTCGGGTTTAACCTTTAGTTGATAATAACCCGATCTAAGATTAATTTTGGAAAAGACACGAGCCCCTTGTAACTGATCAAACAAATCATTAATCCTTGGCAAAGGATATTTATTCTTAACGGTGACTTGATTCAACCGTCTATAGTCAATGCACAATCTAAGTGAGCCATCTTTCTTTTTCACAAAAAGAACCGGAGCACCCCAGGGAAAAGTACTGAGTCTAATGAACCCCTTATCAAGAAGCTCTTGCAACTACTTTTTCAATTCAATTAATTCTGCTGGGGGCCATTCTATAAGGTTGTTGGGATATTGGTGTAGTACCAGGCACAAGATCTATAGTAAACTCAATCTCCCTATTTTGAGGTAGCCCAGGCAACTCCTTAGGGAAAACATCAGGAAAGTCTTCCACTACCCAAATTCCTTCTACGGACACCGACTTGTCTTTAGATTCAAAAACATATGCCAGATATCCATAACACTCATGCTGCAACATTTTATCAGCTTGCATGCAAGAAATAAGTAATGGAAATCATCCAACTTTTTCTCCTTCAAATCGACTCACAGGCTGGTTAGGAGCGGAGAAAATAACCACCTTCTCATAACAATCAACCATGGCATAATGGGTAAACAACCAATTCTTACCAAGTATGATATCAAATTCCACTATACCTAACAAAATCAGATCGGCAAGCAAAACTCTACCTTCTACTATAACTCTACAAGATCTATAAATGGTTTTTGATACTAAAACCTCCTTAGAAGGAGTATTCACCACAAGCACACAATCAAGGGTCTCAAGCTCCACATGCAAAAATGGCACATACTTAGGTGACACAAATGAGTGGGTAGATCCAGAGTCAATCAACACCTAGGCATTCCCAAAAGAGATAGGTATTTTACCTTTTATAACTGTAGGAGTGTTTTGAGCTTGTTGTTCTGTGATGGCAAAAACTCTTTCTTGAACCCTGGGCTTCTTATTATCTTGATCCCTTGGCTGTTGACTTGCTCCCTTGAGAACCGGGCAATCCTTGATCAAGTGTCAGTCTTCCCACACTTGAAACATGCCCTAATCTGCCAATAACATTCTTTTCCCCCGTGGTTCTTACCGCACCTCTTACAAAAATCAAAACTTGGTCGGTTGCTTTTGGGGATCTTCCTTTTTCCCTTTTGTTCAGGCTTCTTATTGAAAGGCTGGGTGTTAATAGCCTTTCCCTTTCCTTTTGAGTCATGAGTCTCCATTCTTTGCTCCTCCATATCTTGCTCAATTATTTGAGCCGTGGCCAAGACCTCATCATAAGTCTTTAGCATTTGAAGAACTACCTTGTTCCTAATTGAAGCTTTCAACCCTCTTTGAAACTTCCTTACCTTACTAACTTCATCATTAACAAGGTGAGGAGCAAACTTCATAAAAGAACTGAATTTAGCTTGATACTCATCAACTGTCATGTCATCTTGTTTCAGATTCATGAACTCCAGTTCCTTTCTTTCCAACATAGCTGTAGAAAAATATTTTCGATAGAAGGCCTGAACAAACTTGTCCCATGTAACCTCTTCCCCTTTCTTAGAAAACCCATCTTGAGCAGCTGTCCACCAATCATCAGCTTCACCTTCTAATGTGAACACTGCTAGCTCCACTTTTTGCCCGTCGGTACATTTTAGGAGCTTGAACATCTTTTCTAATTTCTTAACCCAAGACTCAGCCACATTGGGATCAAGAACTCCCTTGGAGCTAGGCGGGTTCATGTTTTGAAATTGCTTCACCAATGTCAACTGCTCATTTCCTTCTCTAGAGTCCACTGTTTGTTGTGAATTGCCACCAGTGTTTTGTGGGGCATTATTGTTGTTCTGATGTTGAAGATAATCCTTAAAGATGGAACTCATATCCGTAATGGCCTTTTGCATTATGTCCATTCAGGTATTCACATCATCAGTAGGAGGAGGAGTAGAAGTATTGTCTCCTTGACTCATCTTTCTTCTCCGGTATTGATACAAACAAAGAGTGCAAAACTAATAGTTAGGTAAAATCTAATCTTATGACACTAGACTCTAACTCTTATGGGAGATCAATATATTAGCAAAACCTTGGCTCTAATACCAAAAATGTAACACACCTCCCTAGGCACTCTTAGTCCTAGAAGAGTTCGAAAACAAAATTTATAGTAAATAATTGCAGCGGAAGTAAAAACACTTTGATATAAAATATTTCTTCAAAAGAGAACCTGTATTCAAAAAATCAATTTTATAAAAGAATATCATATATATATTGAAAAATACCAAAATATTCAAAGTTATAAGATAAACTAAGCTAAGTTCATTTATAATTAATTTAAAGGTTTTATACATAAAGGTAATTTACACAAAAAAATTATACGAGGCAAATTCTTCTTCAAAGCTTTTCAAAAAAACAAAAGCTGAGTCATGGTTTTGGTATCACATCGATCTGCCTCCTTATCGATAACACAAGGCCCTAGCTTGTACATACAACGAGCATGTGAGTCCCGTGCCAAAAGCTCCTAAACCGAGAGGCTGCTACCTCGATCTACTGATTTGAAATGGGGGGGAAATTTTATGAGCTTACAGCCCAGTAAGTAATAAGTTTAAGTTATAAACTTGGGTCCTAAGACCTTTAGACCTATCCACACAAAGAGCATAAGACACAACGGAATCAAATCACATAATATTTTAATTCTCACTATTCAAATAATGACTTAATGTCTCAAATCATAAGCACAAATGTCAAGTAATAGTCAATGACATTTAAATTGAATTCATATACTAAAATTATATGCTCACAAATACAATGTCACAAGCG